CTCTGCATTCATTATATACACACACTCTGCATTCATTATATACACACACACTGCATTCATTATATACACACTGCATTCATACAAACACACACTCTGCTTTCATTATATACACACACTAAACACAAACACACACTGCATTCATTATATACACACACTAAACACTAACACACACATTCTGCATTCATTATATACACACACACTACACAAACACACTGACCTTAGAGATAAAATAATGTGTCTTGTGCCCATTTAAGGACTGCATCCTTTTCTTTTACAGTTTGGTGGGAATTCACTTGTTATCTTCTTTTTTTGTGAAACATGTTTGCGAATAATTTAGTTGCATAAATACATGTATGCGTTACGTGTAACAGAAAAACATCTATTTGTTTTAAACTCGTGTCATTTCTTTTAGTATCTGAACACCGTCATTCCATACGAAAAGAAACCCAGCCCTCCCTCTGTCGAAGACCTGCAGATGCTGACAAACAGTAAGAGTGACACCCGGTGGCAACTTCTTTAACTGCCTGAGTAATGTAAAATTAATCCTGGTACATTGGTATAAATATTTATTTAGAACTTCTATATTGCATGTCTCTAATTACCTGATTTACCTATAACTCCATCAAGTTTGGAGAAAAATAAATGAACTGTCAATACAATGTCTTCTTTTCCAGTTCTCTTTGCGATGAAGGAGGACAGTGAAAAGGTTCCTATGTTATTAACAGACTACATTTTAAAAGGTAACAATGTTCAGATGCTTTGCTTATTACAGAAAAAAAAATCACCTTCATTTCACCGTAAAATGGTATTTTTATGTAGAATAATTATCATATTAGCTGTAGTCACTGTAGACACTTAGTTACATAGTTGACTGTGATTAATTGATTAATGAATTCAGATGTTGTTGGAAAGATAACAGTCTTATTGTTGGCTTTGTGAGACCATATGATTTTTTTTTTGTCTACACATTGATTTTCTTGTCCATTAATTTGAGACAAATGGAGGATAAGAGAACGAAATGGAGAGATGACTGGGGGGATAGAAAGAAATCAAGCAATATTGGATAAAAAGATGAAGACATGCAGGGATTTTGGGGAGAGAGAAACTTGGAGAGATGGTGGGGAGGAGACAGAGATGGCTGGGAGAAGAGAGGGAGACACTTGGAGAGGTGTTGGGGGGAGAGAGATATGTTGGGGAGAAGAGAGAGAGACACTTGGAGAGATGGCAGGGGGAACAAGGAAAGACATTGAGAGATGTTTGTGGAGAAGACAGGGAGACATTAAGAGATGGCGGAGAGAAAAAGGAGCCAGCAAGTAATTTTGTGGCTGGGGTATTAAGATTTTTACTTACTTCACTTAGGTTGTTCAGCCAGTTAACTCTGATATAGTGGAGCTCTTCCTGGTTTTTAAAATGTGCACCATGCACACAGTCTTCTTAATTATTTCTTTCTCCTCAGTGCTTTGTCCAACCTAATCCGTGCCATGGAGTCTGGACCCAGAGGGAGGATGTCACAGATCTGGGACTGCATGGTTTAACAAAGTATTTCCTTATTTCAAACCACACATAGCATTAACCCAAACAGACGTGGGCCCTCCCCATTACCTACTCAACCTGTACTCACTCTCATCTCAGAGTATTCTTTAATCTGGAATTAAACCCACAATTCCTTGTGTTTACACACGTTTCTTGTGCCATGATAATTGGAAAGAAGGATTCTCCCAGAATTGTCGCCATAAATAACTCCATCTAGAGTATTGAACCAATAACATGATCCTAAACCTACAACATTATTTGTAGGAATGATTAGAAAAATACACCACCCCATGGAATATATAAGAAACATAAGGAATTATTGCACATTTATGGGGCAGGAAATTGCAGGAAAATGTGCAGCTTTTGGGAAAAAAAGGTTATTTTGAGCGATTACATCGTTTGCTTTGGTGGTCTGATTGTGCAAATGTTTATATTGAAAAGTAAAATACATGAAAAGTGCTCTTTAAAAACATTTGCCAGTATAGTAGGCTGAGTGGCCCGTGATACAGTGGAGAAAAAATGACTAGATTCTGCTAGCAGGAGAACCGATCATCCGTCTGATGGCATTAGCGATGATCTCATCTCCTGCAGCATAGGAGCTGCTAACCTATAATTGTGCTTGTTCTCGTCTTTTACGTATAGACTATTGGCCTCGCTCAGTATGTCTGCTACCCAAACTCACTGGAAATACCTCTCTGTAGATAATATAAGTGGGCCACCGCCCTTGAGAAGAAGGTCGCTATATTCACTACTCAATTAGCAAACTTTTCACCTCATTTATCTGTGTTTTCTCCTGTACATATATTACGTTCTAGAGAATGATTCCCTTATAGCATACCCGACTCCTATTAATAAGCCCCCCAGCCCTGTAACATCATGCAGAGTGTCAGTGAATGCGGAATGTCGGCGGTCAGACGGACCCACATTCTTCTGCCAAATAGCCTGCTTATTGGACAGTTACCTGGAAGTGTTTTTATTAATTATTCATGTTTTGGCCGCTGCCCAATCGTTATTTCTCCATTATTAACATAACGCAGCAATGAAGAGCGAATGCATTGGTCACGCCAGGCTCAGGGGCGGCTGTGTATATTGTAATGTATTAGAACGTGTCTTGATATGTATTATCTGAAATAAATCGGATGTAATATCTGCCACATGTGTATTGTGTTATATGTGTGTTTTTTCTAGTTTACAGTTTTTAGTCTGTCTTTTAGTACATGTGTTTAATAAAAGTATTCAGCCTCCAACACTTTTCACGTTTCAGTCCACCAGCTGTTCAATATTTCCATTTCTTGGAATGAATGCACTTAAAAAAAACTTGCTTTTTCCAGTTTAGTGACCTGTTAGCTTCTTTGTATTTTATGTATGGAATTGCTGACCTTTTATTTTTTTGGCTTAGCACTAAGCCACAATGTATTAATGCTAGTTTATGTAGATTCCAGTTGGGTGTAACTCCTTAGGGACTCAGGCATTTTTGCTGTGTGTTTGTTCAGCCATACGTTCTCAATAAGTGCCATCCACACATATTATATATTGGTTTTTCAAGGACAGGTATGGTTTTTCTCTGATACATTATATGCATAGCATAATATTATGAATAAATGAGAGAAAAATATTTAAAAAAAAAAAAGTTTTCTTAGTTTTGCTTATAATAACGTCTTCAGACCTCATGCAACTAAAAAAACTAACTCCGTACATTAACATTTTAGTTCAGATTGTTAAAATGCATCGTGCATCCAAAATTTGAGTTGATTTTAAGAAGTTGTTGGACAAATTACATTTACATGAATTATGGTTTTGAGCAAAACCATTCGTCTGCTGAGTTGATAACATTGCAGTCACATAATTTAAAAAAACTCGAAACAAAAGTTTATATTTATAGAAAATAGACCCCCGGAGTATTTAATTAAGAGCACAGCAGAGTGCGTGAATTTTAGAAAGTGAGAAGAATATAGGTTGGTGTCAATCCAGAGGCCCCAAAACGTGCAAACAAGGTGCCCAGAATACCATAAAGACTGTCTCTGTAGAAACACATACTATGAAAGCATGATTGGCAACATCCAGCGTCTGATTTGACTCCGGAACGATGCACGACTAGGCAATGTGAGGGTCGAGGACACATTGGTGTCACAAATTTTAAGCCATCTATATTTCCAGATGCTTCGGGGGTCCCATTATTGAAGGACTCTGGTCATGCGCTGCTCCAGCCACTTACAGAGATTTCCACCTAACTGTCAGAGTTATTCACTAACGTGAGAATTCAAAGTGAATTTTAAATTTAAGGCAAAAGTAGCTGAATGGGAAAAATGGCTAAATTAGAGAATTGTTTTTGGTTTGACCTTAAATTTAGAATTCACTTTAGCGAATAACCCTTTGTATCCAGAGCATGAGAGATGAAATGCGTGGGAGAGATTCAACACGTCGTACCCACTAAAACCGCCAAACGTGTACTGTGAACTAGCTCACATCGCTTTCCTCCCTAACCTGTTCACAATGTAATCATACTAAATATCTTAGCTCCCCTTCTTTTCGCGTTGCATATCGTTGGTTTGATTAGACACCATTTAAACAGTCTTCATATACGATCGGTCCTCCATGAGTTAAGTCACTAGTCCATTCCTTAAATAATTTGTATTAGAAAATCTCTCTCTAGCTCAGATCCTTTCCTCTCCAGCCCACACTCCTGCTCTGTATCTTGGTGTGTAGTTGGATTTTTCAGCTCACCACCAGAGGGAGCCAGAGTGGAATAACGCAGATGAAGCATGCGCTGTGGAAATATTGAAAAATACATGGTAATTATATTCTGTTGATTCTGTTGATTAGAATGCTTATGACATAATACAAGTTAGCAGTAATAATAATAAAAAAATGGACTGTACAATTTTTTTATTTTTTTTTACTGTTTAAAGTTAATAAGGAATTTGCAGAAAACATGGCCTGTGTTACAGGCTCTGTAGTTTATAACTGTATATTTTACACTTCTCTTCCCCCACCACCTATTAATGTGTGGCTTCCTCTACCATATTACAAATGGAGCTATCGATCTTCCTACCAGCTGCCTTCCTCTAATCGGCTTCTCGTGAGACTATCAATCATCGCACCCCATACCAGCTGCCCTCCTCTAACTGGCTACTGGTGGTGCTATTAATCATCATACTCCATACCGGCTACTCTCCTCTAACCGGCTAGTGGTGGGGCTATCAGTCATCGTACCCCATACTGGCTGCCCTCCTCTAATCTGCAACTGGTTGGTGATATCCGTCATCATACCCCATACTGGCTGCCCTCCTCTTATCTGCAACTGGTGTGGCTATCAATCATCATATTCCATACCGGATGCCCTCCTCCAATCGGCTACTGGTGGGGGCTATCAATCATTGCACCCCACACTGGCTGTCCTCCTCCAATCCACTACTGGCAGGGCTATCAATCATCGCACCTCATGCCTGAGGCCCTTCTCTAACCTGCTAATGGTGGGGCTTTCAGTCATCGTACCCCATACCAGCTGCCCTCTTCTAATTCACTACTGGTGTGGCTATCAATCATCATACTCCATACAAGCTACCCATCTCTTATCTGCAATTGGTGGGGCTATCGATCATCTCAGCTCATACCTTCTGTCCTTCTCTAAGTTGCTACTGTTGAGGCTATCAATCATCACACCCCATAATGGCTACCTTCTTCTAATCCGCTACTGTTGGGGCTGTCAATGTTTGCACCCCATACCAGCTGCACTGTTCATATCTGCCGCAGGTGGAGCTATCAATCATTGCACCCCATACCAGCTGCACTCCTTTAATCTGCTACTGGTGGGGCTATCAATCATCAAACCCCATACCAGCTGCCCTCCTCTAATTGGCTACTGGTGGGGCCATCAATCATCATACCCCATACCGACAGCCCTTCTCTAATTGGCTACTGGTGAGGCTATCAATCATCTCAACTCATACCTACTGCTCTTCTCTACTGGTGGGGCTATTAATCACTGAACCCTCATACTGGCTACCCTCCTCTAATCCGCTACTTGTGGGGCTATCAATCATCATACCCAATACCAGCTGCCCTCCTCTAACGGGCTACTTACTGGGCTATCAATTATCACACCCCATACCAGCTGCCCTCCTCAAATCTGCTACTGGATGGCGCTATGAATCATTGTACACCATATCGGTTGCCCTAGTGTAATCGGCTAATGACTGGGCTATCAACCATCACACTTTCCCTGGCTGTCTTATTCAAAGATGTCACCCAGTCTCCATTCCTTCAAAACATCTTTGAAAACTCACTTCTTCAGGAAAGCAGATCAGTTAAACTGTTAGCAGGTTTTCCTCTCCCACCCCCCATGACTCCTCACCTGCAACTGTCAAAAATAACCTATTAAGCCCTCAGTGAATACTTTTCTAGCAACCTACTTTCTTACCCTTACCCTTTGGTGTCACTATACCCCAACCCTCTAGCATGTAAGCTCATTAAGCAGGGTCCTCAACCCCTCTATTCCTATGCGTCCATTTGTCTGGTTACAATTACGTGTCTGTTAGTCCACCCACTGTACAGCGCTACAGAATTTGCTGGCGCTATTTAAATAATAAAATAATATATGTTGTCACTAATTTACAGTCCGTACTGTTCTATGATTGGTTAGCATTCGCAAAACCACTCAAAACTCTATGTAAAACAGCCAGTTAGAACACTTAGGTCATTGAAGGAGTGATACCATAATAACTAAGAAGTCGTCTTAAGGCATCAATTGCGCATAATATGTGTGCAGACAGTGAAAAGAAGTGTAAAAACATAGAGAGCACAATATAGAGCTACAAAGGGCAGAGTATGTGGCATCATGCAAACCGTCTCCTTCTCAGAATTAGAAACATAGAAACATCGAATGTGACGGCAGATAGGAACCATTCGGCCCATCTAGTCTGCCCAATTTTCTAAATACTTTCATTAGTCCCTGGCCTTATCTTATGTCTAGGATAGCCTTATGCCTATCCCACACATGCTTAAACTCCTTTACTGTGTTAACCTCTACCACTTCAGCTGGAAGTCTATTCCATTCATCCACTACCCTCTCAGTAAAGTAATACTTCCTGATATTATTTTTAAACCTTTGTCCCTCTAATTTTAGACTATGTCCTCTTGTTGTGGTAGTTTTTCTTTTAAATATAGTCTCCTCCTTTACTGGGTTAATTCCCTTTATGTATTTAAATGTTTCTATCATATCCCCCCTGTGTCGTCTTTCCTCCAAGCTACAGTATAATTAGAAGCTAAACAGGGACTGGAGGAGGTAAAGCTCTAACGGGGAGCATTAAAAGAGCAATCCAGATTCCCAAAGCACTTTGGTAACAGTGTATAACCCCTTTCTGACTTTATAACAGTGTGGATTTCATGAAAGATCTGGCCCTTTATTTGGGTGTTAAGTTGCAGCGTCCCAGCTGTCAGACGAGTGGTAGGATACTCCTCCTGGCCGCGGTGTGCCCCAGCTCACTGTCAGTGCTGTGATTGCTGCGCATGTTTCTAAGTGAAACATTGGATTGGCTGTGAGATTGGAGGAGTGGCTTAGCCGTACGTTTTTTTAAAAGAAAAGGGGCCCAAAATACTCCACAACACTACAGCGCTATGAGAAAAGGTATTCATTTCTAATGCTGTATGTTCCTTTAATGACAATATTAGCTGTAAATCTGAAGTAAGTCTTATTCCATTGCTACTTACATGGCTTCTGTTAAATCATGTAATGTAACTCTTTGTTAATATGATACTCGTCTTTCCTACCAATTATAGCAGTCATTTCATCTACTTAAAGGAGAACTGTCACTTTCGAATAACACATCACCTAGAACTTGTCTTAACATTTTTCATATATATTCTCTGTTTTCTTTTACATTTATATTAAAGATTTAGCAAATGACCCAACAATCCAGTTCAGACAAGGCACAGCCAGGGCACACAATGCTAATAAAGGAGGAGAAATAGTAACATTGTTTCATTTCTCCTCCTCTCTGTGTGCTCTCTCTATGCTGACTGCCAGATGTAAAGGGCGAGGCGTATTACAATGACTGACAGGAGCTCAGATGGAGGCCCCCGTTGCAGTATAGAGAGCTGTGCATTTGCACATTTAATTTTATTTCTCACACCTCAGAAACACATATTTCTAAAATATAATATTTTGTAAATAATAGTATCCTGGGAGTGACAGTTACCCTTTAATTACATTCAAGCTTAGACCCTAAAATGATTTAAAAATTGCTAATGTTTTAAATCAATGTTATACATATCTTCGTTTAGCAGTTATACATGAACTATGTCACAGACTGACATATCTGGGACACAGCGGAGCTGCCGATGGAGATCTGATGCATGGTAGATTATAATTATATATATACATACACACATATTACATGAAACACGTACACATGCATGAGTGGTTTATAATCATCATACTCTGTTTATATGCAAATTTCATAAAACAGTTTACTTCTCAAAATAGATGAGTCTCATATTACATCATTTCAAGGATCGGGGATGCAGTTTTCATAATTTTGCACACAAATATCTTACTTCTGTATTGCTGGTAAATAACTTCAATTTTCCTCTTCCATATCATATATATATATACATACACACACACACAGATATATACATGGTGGATATAATATATGTGTATGGATATATATATATATATATATATTATATATAAATTACACAAAACCTTTCCGATGGTCTCCCATGCTCATGACTTTTTTTAAATATTAAAATCTATTTATTTATAGTTTGATACGATGACCAGTCAGCATTTCAAGATATCTTGCCAAAAGTCTGTTAAAGAAACATGATAGATTCTTGTTGTTTCAAACTAATATATTTGAATAATTTCGGCCTTAACCAAAGAGTGTGTGAAATTGTCTCAAACAGATTGTATATCCCCTATTCAATATAAGTCTATGTGTGCGATAGTGTGTCTATATATACATATATCACATATACATGTATGTATACACACACAGACATTTCTAAAAACGGCATTCAAATAGCATTCAGTAACAATAAAGGAAAAAGCTTTTCCTAAAACACGTTAAGTTCCTAAAAAAAAAAAAAAATAACAACAAAAAAAAACAAAACAAAAAACTTAATGGGCCACAATATGTGGCTCTGTAAACACATGTCCTTCACTTAAATAAAAGGAGCCCAGTTGCATTGTTCGTAATGTTGACCAGTCCCTGCCGCTGTCAAGCAAACAAGCAGGTGATTCAAAGTGAAAATTTGCAGTTTCTTTTCCGTTTACGGAGCAGTTTATGAAGATTGTTCTTTACATAAAAGTTCCAGCATTGAAGTCCTGGTGGTTTAAATGTAAATTAATTAATATTCTTGTGGGAAAGGATAGATGATTCTGTTCCCTTTTTGAGGGTCATTCCCACCCGATACGAGAACACGTGTTCTTCCATCCAGAGCCTGGTTTCAACTCTCGATAGTTGGTTAGTCTTTTTTTATGTAGGAGTGATTGGGAAGCAGAAACTAATAGAAGTGATAATCTGAGGCTTTCATCAAGTTAAATTGTGTCTCTAATGCACTTTGTCCTTTGAGAGGAACATATTGCTACTCCAGGGAGTCACTGTGTTCCAAGCCAAGCTCACTAACATTCGTTGTCTGCAATTCTTCACTGTCTTCTTCAAGATCATCCTCTTCCATCTCTTCTTCTTCATCATCATCATCTTCCTCTGTCCCGTCCAAAGAGTCATCGTGAACTCCCATTATGGCCTGCTGCATTGAGAGCGCCTCGGAGGACAGTGATTGCAAGCTGTCCATGTTGACGGAACCTGGAACACAAAACAAGCTTATCATCCAATAAATACAGATATATCCAGCTCCAATATATATATCTGTCATAGAGGAAGAGCAATATCAAAGGTATACTTTAATACAATATATAAATGTAAGGTTTCTTGTTAACCAACCATTGTTTCAGCCAAATAAATGAGGCTGCTGCAGTTTTATTAAAGAATATTATAGATAAAACCAAATCTATAACCACATGACCACATTGTCTGGTTGTAATACAAAATGTCTTTGTAATGACGCAGTATATTTTACCTCTTTATATTTACTTGTACCTCTCTCAACTCTTTCTGGATGATTAGTCATGAAATAAGTTACTTTAATAAAAACTATATGGCAGCAAATGTCTCCAAACTCACCATCAGGATTGCTTCCGGGTAGGACTCCGGGCTGCTGTAGCACTCCCGCGGCAATGGAATTAGGCCAGAACCTTTGTGTTGGCCGATGCTGAGACTTTATTTTCTTGGCTTTTGGTGCTGGGTCAGGGTTGCTGGCATCTAACATGGGCTGGAGAATGCGCCTCCTGGCATTAATGAACCTAGAACAGAAATTATAGCATTTATCACAAGTTTCTTAAAGGGATACTAAAGGCATAAAAACTATTTTAGCTTAATGAAGCAGCTTTGGTGTATAGTTCACGCCTACCATTCTCACTGCTTAATTTTCCGCCATTTGTTTATACAGCCCCAACCACGTCTCCCCTGGCTGTAAATCACACAGCCTACATGTAAACAAAATGGTTTCATTTTCAATTAGATCTTAACTCAAGTTTTATCTCCTGCTCTGTAAATTGAACTGTAATTACACAATGGAAGCTCAAGCAGGGTCTATCAGGCTATTAACAGAGCAGGAGATAAAACATTCTAAATCAAACAGACTGTGCAATAAAGGAAGTATAAACATTATATGACTCTTTACAGGAAGTGTTTATGAAGGTTGTGGAAGTCACATGCAGGAAGGTGTGACTAGGGCTGCATAAACAAAGTGATTTAACTCCTAAATGAGAGGGAATTGAGCAGTGAGACTGCAGGGGCATGATCTATACACCAAAACTACTTTATTAAGATGAAGTTATTTTGTTGCCTATAGTATTTTATTTATTTTTAAAAATTTTTGTCAATTAAAAATGTAAGAAAAATAAATAGCAAAAAAACAGACAATAACCTCATTTGACATTTAAGAAAAAATTATTAGTCAGACTAGACTAATGAAATTAGGAAACTGCTTCTGAGGCTCATAAGTGTGACATTAGACATTAGGAAACCAAGTATATTTAAACCTCATTCGGTAGTTTCCTCCCGAACCGCCAGAGCCTTAGTGATTATAGCCCTCCGTTCGGTAGATAGAATAGACGAACCATATAGTAATCCCAATAGCTTCACAAGATGATTCCCTTAGTGAAACACACGAATCCCCAAACATCAGCCGAAGTCAAGAAGAAGGGTACAAGATGAACTAACTTTTAATGGATACACACAGCTTTTATGCAAGTCCCCATGCAAGGGGACTTCCCTCAGGGAGGGACAAATATTCACCAATCATATACTGGGAAACGTTAACACACACCCACAGTTCCCTCCCCTAGCCCTGGAGATAATTAAGTCTGATAAAAGAATACTGAAGAAGCTCTATTTGAGAGTGAAACGCGTATTGGCCATTTTTAAAGGACTTTTATTTGAGGACTTTTATCATCTTTGTTTTTATGTTTATTTTAAACTAATAAATTCACCATTTTTATTCAATACCTCATCCAAGTTCCTTTTGGAGCCTCCAAGGAATCCTCACAGGGGTAGTGCCATCCCCATTCAAACTGGCACAAAATCCACATACCTAGAGCCGGGATTCGTAGGCTCAGGACCAGGTGAGCACCCCATTTATTGAACACATATCTGTGCCATCTATCACCATAAGTCTACACATTGGTTTGCTTTCTTCTCTTTTTTTCGTGTTCCTGAGAAATTCTTCAAGCCGAAGTAGGAGGGTGGTGCTACCATAACAGCACACAAGCCTTTATACGGAGCCAGTGTTTTCTATATACAGGCTCCTTGAAATGTGAGTGTAATATTCAACACAATATTATTATAATCACTGTGAAGCCATTTTTTAGTACTGTCTACACTATATTGTATTTTCTGTATTTTATGTTGACATGTACCCCATATTTTACCATTGAATGAGACTACGTTTTGGTAAGATTTATCTGTGTTTGAGCGCTCCACTTATAGGTGTAGGTCCTTGTCACTTACACCGCACCAATATCTGATAAAAGAATAACTTAATTATCTCCAGGCTGAAAAATCACTTTTTTCCCCCAATAACTGGATCATACTTGGGGTATCCCCACAAATAACATGTCCCCTGATAGCCCTGATCTGGGTGACCAACATATTCGAATTTCACCCAGATTGGTTCAGGGGTTCGCAAAATCTATGGATGTCTTCTGTGACCGGCTCACCCTGGGCTGTATGCCCAAAACAGTTCCATGAGTTTGGTGGGTTTTGCCGGTCACTTTAGAAATAGCAGAAAAGCGAACAAAGTACCGAATGGATCCCTCTGGCTCCTAGCAGCGATCGTGCCGCTCTGTCGAATGCACCAAAGTACCGAATAGCGCTCTTCTAGCTATTCAGTAAGTAGAGTTCCAGCGTTCGTCTGTTTGAGACCGGTGTTCGGGAAGTCGAGTGTCCGTTTTCAGTTCCAGACACTCGACGACCAAGTCCCGCTGCCTTTGTTCGCATGAACAAAGATGGCCGCGGTTTTCTCTGCCACGTGGTGTTCGGCTGTACGAACGCTGGCCACACAGACAGAGGTAGCAATTGAATCAGTCTTTGATGTTTAACGAGCCAGAGGGGTGGTTTTTGTTCGGTAGTTACATCTACCGAATGCAGTGGGCAGAAATAGTGTAACAAAAGGGAATGCAATGGGCAGAAATATTGTACCAAAAGGGGGATTTCTTCACATTAGATAACTAACAGTAGAACTTAAAGTAGATTAGCAGCATTGCATAGTAGTGAAGTGGAGAATATAAATTCTATGTGTAGGAATGCAGCCTTAATCAGTATCTTGGCCAGACAATTAGTGTCCGGACAACCTCAGCCTATACCAGCTCTAATGCTGGTCTGGGTTTGGATGATGTGAAGGAAAGGTGAGCACATTACTTCAG